CTAATGCTATAATAAAAGTATTTTGAATATATTTGCAAAAAATTATATATAATTTAGTAATTTTTATTTTGAGAAATTTCAAGTTTAACAATAGATATGATTGCTTTCTAAATACACCAATCGATGTCTACAGACATAATACTACTGGTAATTGACTTATTATTTGATAAGTATTTGCGAAATAACTAAAAAATAAGTGTTAATTTCATATAAAATAAACATGAGTTTAAAATCAAAATTCTTTAATCAACAATACATTAAAACTCTGGATATCATTAGATATATTATTCAGAAATGTTATACAATCTTAAACATAGAGCCCCTGAGAGGCAATGCATACAAAGATTGTTGGCTATTATATAACGAAATTCATAAATTATATCATAATTTTATAAAAATTGTTTAAAATTACATTTTGTTATCTAAAAAAGTTAAGAATAAAAGATCAGAAATTTTTGTCTCAAATTAAACATTTATGACTGAATAACAACTTCTCGCTCTAACTATTAAATAGTTTGTCATTTCAACAATCATTCTGTAATTAATATCAAAACGTTTCTAATTTAAAACAAAAATTAGGATAACTGTTGAATAAGAAGTAAATGATTTAAATTACTTCATAATTTCTATTACATTAACGGATTTTTAATACATAATATTAAACGAGTTTTAAGTATTTGTAATTAAAATAAATCAAATTAATATCATAATGAATTTAAGCGGTGTTAACAAAGACTTCTCGTATTATTATAACAATTTTGACAATTCTTCGTATGTAAATATCCAATTGATAGGCGATAAGTATGACATTGAGAAGATTTTCCCAAATATATTTGCCAATATTGAGAGCTTTATAGTCGGCTCTTCCATCACTTTTCTTGTGTTTTATATATTTGTGACCATATTTTCGACGAATGCCTTCAAAGTATTCGTGAACACAACGACTCAAAACTTGGACCAAAATCTCTATATTGTTTGGGATGTAATTAACTTCAAAAATCCGGTCATTCGGTAAAAACTAAAGTCATTTATATTTATTGCTGATAAGAGTGGCATCATTTAGCCTTAATGTCAATCCTAATGATATTTGTTACAAATCAATAAAACCTTAATTAATAATTCGTGGCATTCCTCTGGTGTTTCAATGCAATTGTCTTTGTATATGAAACACAAGAATGTTACTAAAATGATGATTACATTACATTTGAGACAATCATCATTTTATCAGATTTTTTAAATATATAAATCAATAAAAATAAATGCACTGAAAATTTTGCAAATATACACAATAATTGTTAAAATTGATGTTATTATAGACTTGTGAACAAAATGTTAAACGAAGAATACAAGAGAGTATTGGATGAAAAGGATTACAATCGACTGATCAACGATTTCGATGAACTCGAGGCCCATAAGAATGAAGGAACTAATGAATTAGAAAAGAGTCGATTCCGACTCCAAGTCCTCAAATCACAGCAAAGGTATTCGCAGACAATAGACGTCCCCTTATATGACACCAAAGAATTGGAATTATTGGAGAAAAAGTTTGAAAACATTGAGAAAGTGAAACGAATGCCCAAAACTCTTGTGCTGGCCATCAATGAAGTCAACCCTCACTACGAGAGTCCGCGAGAGAAACAACTCTCACAACTCATGAATAATATGAAAGAATGCAATAAAACGCTTATTATTAGAGGAAAAAATTAACACAAAATGAAATGAAATTAAACAAATTGATTGAAAAACAAATTTAAAATTTATTAAAATAAATTCACACAAAGTTTTGTTTCAAAACTCAATCAAATCCTTAAAATATTTGTATTTCTGTTTTATAAAATGTCTGAAAAGTTAATCACAATTTTTAAAATTCATTTCAAAGTCATATTTAAAAACAAATAAATAAATGAAAAGTTTTTATACAAAAAGTAATCAAAAATAATGTTAAATCTGATAATGGATTCAAACTATGAAATTATCGACAAAGAGAGAGAGAAAGAAANAAGAGAGCGATATACAGAAGAGTGAGCGATGTCTGGAAGTGTCCATCACTTGACCACCGATTGTCCCCATTTCCTGATTCCTCGACAACTCAACAATTGGTTTGAATTACTCCAGAAAACGGGCGCCGAATCTAAACGAGTGTTGGACTCCGCGGCCGACAGCTTCTGCTTCTTAGCGATCGACACGTCATCTGCTCATCAAAAGAGAGACAAAGATTAACAAATCGTTAGCCAATTATCATCTCGTCATACCATCGATGCAATCGTTGGAACCGCTGTCATCCGTGGCGTACAAATAGTCCAAAATCTGGTAATCCATGTGCGGGTTGTTGTCGGTGTCATCGGTCGCCGCGTGGGCGCCGATCACCAGCCGCTGTTCCGCCTCTTGAGTGCGTTCCCTCTGATTCAGCGTTTGGACAACGAGTCGACAGTCTTTGGCGGAACCGCTGCCGAAGAACTGTTTGATGGACTGCTTATGATTGCATACTTTGCACAACCATTTGGTGGCCTTCTTTGACTGACACACCTGATAGGTATGACACGAACAGCACTTCAAGACCACAAACTCCTGAGCCATCGATGTCTTCGGCGGTTGTGTTGAGTGATCACTGAATGTCTTCAATCAGACGTCAATTGAGAGACAATCCATTGTTTGTGTCATTCAGTCATTCATTTACCGCACATTCCCTTTGAGTCGACGCAACAATGCATTCGTATTCACTCCGTACACAAATATCGTTACGTTTTTGTGTTATTTATTTCCCCTAAAAGTTATGTAACGAGTGTTTAATATTGAGTGCTCTCTCGTCCCCACGTTTTAAGCGTAACGTTATTTGTGTTCGATTTAAATGCCATGCTTTCGGTGTGTGTTTTCATTTCACTCAACGTTTGATTCATTTATTTATTGTTTTTTACAATTGATTTAATTATCATCTGATATGCCGTCGAAGAAGCGAAAGGACACGAAGAAGACAACGGATGAGTCGTCGGCGGCAAAGGAGTCGCCGTTTGTTTCGTACGAAAAACTCGTGGAAACGATAGATGTGTTGAAGAAGTGGACGCTTTTGGACGACAAGCAAAAGACCGATAAGAAAGAGCTCTTCAAAGACACCGCCGATTGTGTGGTCAGTCTTCAGGTGAACTACAAGAAGACACCGTTGAATAAGTCGACGTATATTTTTGCCATCTCTTTGCCCAACCATTGGAGACACGAGTCGTCGGACTTCGAGACCTGTCTTATCGTCAAAGATGTTAACAAAACGCCGTTAAGTGACAGAGATTTGGATCTAAGTATGTCTTGGAATTTATGACTTGTTTTTCATTTGTTGGACTCATTGTGTGTTTGAATTACAGCCGAGACTAAGAACCACTACCGGGAACTGTTGTCTAAAGACAATTCGGATCAATTGGTGTCAGAAATCCTTCCGATGCGTGAATTGAGGAATGAATACAAGATATTTGAATCGAAAGAAA